AATCAGAAATACAATTAAAAGCTATAAAAACCAGACATTACAAAAATAAAAAAGCTAAAAAATCCAAGAGGCCGATAGGGGCCACACCAGGCCACCAGATCTTTTAACTTTGTGCTCCTTCCTTGGTCTGACTTTTCAAACCCTCAACTAAAGTTTTGATTAAAATTGAGTTCTTATTAATAATAAATAGGTTTGAAGTAAATATCTTAATGAATTCTTTAATTTGGTTTATTTTACTTTAAAATTCCATGCTGTGTCGCCTAATTTAGGCTGTTGCCCATATTTGTCAGTAGGACCTGGATCCTGATGGATTTGTACACAATATGTGTTTGTTTCCTTTTTTGTTTGCTTTTAGGTGGCAGTCATTAGTTTTTAAACCTGTGCCACTTTTTCAGATTTTCACAAACAGGCCCCTTATCAATGATTATATAATTGTGTTGGTGTATTTATGAGTTAGTGAGAGAGATTGAGAGAGAGTAGTTTGTGAGAGAATAGTTTGTATCTAAACATGCTGATGGGAATCAATCAATTTTACAAATGAGTGTCTTATTTTGTAGGCAGTTACTTTTATTCAGTAAGCATTAATTCAATTCTGATATTTTTTCTGATACTGCTCTTTTTTGGAGTATGTCCCTGTTCATTGTATTTCTGACTTCAGTATAGTTTTCCTTTCAGGTAAAGTTGCATTTTTTGTGGACATGTGTGGACAAAACGTGATCTATTTATGTATTTGTTTTGGGGGAGAAATATAATTTATTATTAATATGTTGCAAACAGCTTATAGGACACCATTTTTAATACTTTGGGAAATATATGAGAAAATTGTATTATTTATTTATTTATTTATTTAATTTATTTATATTTCATTTAGATACCGCCCATCTCACAAAAAGTGACTCTGGGCAGTACACAATAAAGCAGCAATACATATTAAAATACAATAAAACAATATAAAATACAATAAAAATAGAATAAAAACCAAATACATACACAAATAATATCTTCCAAGATGTTGATAGTCTTATATATTATATAGACACACATACACTGTATGGATATGCAAAACAGTGTACATAGGAATAGGCCAATCCAGTATTACAAGGATTGTTTGTCCATTTTTGAAAGTGTATCTTCCAGAATGAAAAATGTTTTTTAATATTTTGAATGTGGTCTGACCCTGAATTCAAATTTTTCTAATGGAACAAGTCAATTCAGGAGAAGAAGAAACAAAGCCACCATTCCATGTGGTGTTTGGCTCCATAGAAATGGGCAGGTAGCTTTTATTTATTCACCTGTTAGAATGGTGATTAGAATTTTCCAATTTGTGGTTGTAGAGGAATTTCTTGTATTTCCTAAGATATAATTATTCTACTAGTTTATTTAATTCTACAAAATGAGAGGATTTTGAGGGAGAAAACTGTGTATCAATTCCCTTTTGGATTCTTGATGCTGGTTCCTGTCTCTAGATTAGAATCCCAGAGATTACTCCTGTATTTTTTTCTGACTTCCTGTACTGTAGGTCAATACTGGGTATTTGTCAAGCTCATTTAAAAACACAAAGCACTATCTAGAGATTTATTTGCATACAGATGTGTAAAGAATAAATGTTTTCAAGACATCATCGTGCCAACTATCATGAGGGCAAACTATCAGCTGATATTTTGTTTTCAATTTGATGAAAGTAACCCTTTCATTCTATTTTCAGTAGGACCCAAGTAGATAAAAATTATGAGAAATGAATGATTCAAGTTGACATACTCTGTGTGGTATTGTTCCACACATAAAGTACGTGTAGTTACTACTATAAACTACTGTGTACAATTGGTTAAAAAAAAATACTTCCTCTTGATAAATGTTTCACCTACAGTTTACTTAAGTAGTTCTCAAACTCCATGGTACTATATCTTCCTAAAAATGGGAAATCCCACCCCTATGAGTAAAACTAGGATTTCACTGATGTTAGGTTATTTTTTTTATTTATATACTACAGGGATTCTTGAACTTTGTGGTACAACAACTGTTTTTTGTAGGTTTATGTAGGCAAAATGAGCAAAGTCTAGAATAAGTTTTGAAAGTGTTTCTACTTTGCTTGCACTAATCTGATAAAGTTAAAAAAAAGGGGGGGAACACCCTCCCCCCATAAAGTTGCTTGTTCCTTTCTTGAGAAGACCCAGCATAGACTGAGAATTCCTTGGTTACCTCATATGAAATACATACCAGGTAGCATTGACGAACTCATATGTGGCAATGTATTTCTTGTGAAATGTACAAAGAAATTGTGGTAACAAATGTGCAGTTGAATCCTACATTTTTAGAAACCTTTTGATTTTACATGGAACGGTTTTGCATTGCATCATTATGTTGTATTACATAATACAGTTTTCTAGTACACTGCTTCTGGTTTTCATTATTGGAAATATTTTAAGGAATAATACTTGTTCTGTTACACATGGTTTTTACTAAAAACATTTATTAGGAAATAGTTATTCAAATGGCTGAATCTTGACTTTATGAAATGATGAAAAACTGAACTACAGAAAATGAAATATTAATTTTAGTTTAACAGTTGACTCCAAAAATTGGTAACTGCAATTCAAAGTGTTTAGATTTTTGCTAAGAAAGGCATTTTGGTATAAAATATATGATAATTCTATATCCATGAATTATAGAAGTGTGAGAGTGGATTATGGGTATCCAAATACACAGCATTAGGAATTTGATGGAAGAATTTATATATATGTGCTGCTAAAGAGATTTTCATTACCATTGACATTACATTGCACATTTTTTATTGGTAATAATTACAGGTATTGAATACAAGAGTATGTTGCATAAAAGAGGTAGCAGTCAATGCATTTCATTCTAAGAAAAATACTGACGTCTATTAAATTAAAGTACAATCCTAAGCATGCAGATTTCAATGCAATACATCCCATTGAAATTAAAGGACTTCCTCTTAAATAAGTTGGTATAGGATTATAGCTTTAATTTATTTCGTGACATCTGTTCATAATGAGTTTGATAAAAACCTGTGTTAAGAGACAGTTTACTATAAGATAGTACTGTATTTATATTAGAAAAAATAGAAATAATTTATTGTTTAATGCTAATATTCTAGCTATATGCACATTGATGAAAGCTGATCTTGGTAACTCAAACATACAGTTGAAATAAATTCTAAACATTTATTTTTTAAAATATTTTTCAGCTGGAAGAGAAGGCTGACAAGCCATATTCTGATTTATACACAAGGGTGAGTTTTTAACAGATTGGTTTTCAAATTATGGACTCTTTTAAAACATACCAGTACACATAATAGAGCCAATCAAAATATATATTCCAGGTGCCCAGCATGCAGCAAGGCTCAAGCCTCCTATGTACTGGCAGTTGTCTTCATTATTTCTTCACATCTATACAAGTGGAGTAATTTAGGTTACAATGTATCTCATATGTGAAATCTGTTACCTACTAAAGCTGTGCAAAGTATTCAAAACTAGTGTTTTGCATAGTGTGAATTAAACACCTGCCTTGGAAGCACTAAAGTGGCTTTAACCTTTGCAAAACTTGTGTAGCTGTTTCTAAAGCTGTCCCCAGTTGTCTAGTTTGCATGCTCATGCACAAACAGCACTTCTGCTGAGATGTCTGCTGGACCAGAGCCAGTTTTCAAAACAACCAGATGAAGTATTTAAAGGATGAATCTGTTTTAATACTTTAAACAGAGTTGCTTCATTTGTGCTAATGTGATTTGTGAAGTACCTCTTCTGAATACTTTATAGAGCCCCATTTCCAACTTTCCATTTCTTCTTAAAAATGTAGTATAAAGAAATGTTGCTTAGGTAAACCATGGGATTAAATCTGAAAAAGTCATAAAGTACATGGGTAGATTGAACTGATAAGACATGTTTAACATTTCCTGATAAGACTCAGTAAACTCATTTAACATTACAGTGGCCTATTGTCAGGCCTAGCCCAAGGAACTCCTGGAGACTGTGCAGGTTCAATCAGCAAGGTTTATTAGCTGGTGCTTGTTTACAGAAATCTTCTCAGACTGCCGGCTAGTTCCCAGGAACAGGAATTCACTATCTTCTGGAATGTTAGGGGTACGTCAGCTTTCACCTCTTATCTCCAGTGCGTTGCTCTGGAGACGAGATCACGTTCTTTACCCCCCTTCCAGTCCCATGCCATTCCATCACACCTATATAAGAAAATATTTTTTTCCAAAATTATACTATTCTTCTAGGATTGATATGTTATTTGCATAATTTAGCTAAGAAAGCTGTTAAAATGTGAAGGAAATTTAAAACAATTGTCTTTTTTAGCCAGCATCTCGCAATTCAGCAACTCCTTTGAGTGGAAATTCTTCTAGACGAGGAAGCGGAGATACAAGCAGCTTAGTGGATCCTGATACCTCATTAAGTGAATTGCGGGTGAGCACTTTTTGTTGTTTAACAGTAAAAAAAACCTCTTGTACATTTGTAAAAAAGGAAATAGTTCTGAAATAACTCTGAGATTTAGAATTGAAATATTTATTTCCTGTGTGGTTAATAGTGTATGTTTGTGAAAGTTGCATTAGTTATTGGGGAATGGGGAAGGCCTATATTCCTTTAGGGATATGGATTGCAAAATGTATTGAATCAGGTTGCAAAATTCATCGGACCAAGATAATTCACCAGAACTCTTTTCAACTGTATTCTAAATGCTTAAAAGTAAATAAATCTCAGTGAAATCAGGGGGGTTAGTTAAGTGTGCTTAGAAATGGGTTTTAAAGTTGAATAATTAATTAACATGAAAATGGTTGGAATATAGTGTAGCTACTTTTATAAATCATACACTTAAAAGAGGGACACTTTGAAAAAGAAATGCTAATGAAAGGCTACATTATCAGTATTTTAAAAATTATTTATTTATGCCATTATTTACCACCTCACTCCTAGTGGACTCTAGGTGGTTTACAGATATTAAAATAACAATAGTATATAATACCTTACACTGAACAATGAAAGCTATAACAACATATATAGACTCTCTTGGCTCCAGTTAGCCTTGAGATTAGATTATAAATTTGTTTATTTTTTCCAAAGTTTAAAATTGGTTGAGTGTATTTTGTAAATAAACATTTCTTAATATGGTAGACTCTCTCCAATATTTTCCTTATATTAACAGGTTATCTATAATCTCTTATTGTAAGAAGGAAGCAGAACATTACTTATAGTATAATATAGTTTTGTAGAGTAGAGTTCTAGAATTATATAGAACTGTTATAATAGTTCTAGTTTGCAGATGTCAGTATGTATCTTTTCAGATCGGCATTCAAAACAAGTTTGTGAAAAGTTTATGTCTGAAATTGGTATTCTCATACTTTATGTATTTTAGATGTACACAAACCTTTATAAGAAACATAGACTTAAATTGAATGATATCTTGGTCAAGTGTCAAGGAAATCTCATTTAATTTAATCTATAGTATGTTCAGATACAATATACACAAACCAAACCACCTGGTTTTTAAATCATAGAATTATATAATCAGTACTTTGTGATGTTCTTATGCAATGGTTCATTCCTATGTCCTGCAGGATATCTATGATCTTAAGGACCAGATACAAGATGTAGAGGGGAGATACATGCAGGGACTTAAAGAACTAAAGGTATTAGGGTTTCTCCCAAGCATGTATTCACTGTGGTAATACTTTGGTAATGGCATTTTTGCAAATTTCATTAACAGAGCTTTACTAACACACTAATAACTCTTTTTTTAAGCATGTGCCTAACCAGCAAATTGGAGAATGGGTTTTGTATGTATAGTTACTAGTGAATGTTCCATGTTACTTCAATAGTGTTAATGTATATTTAATACGGCTAATGTTCTATTAAAAAGTATAATTGATTGATTATGTGCTGTCAAGTCGGTGTCAATTCTTAGTGACTGCATAGTTAGATTTTCTCCATAATGTTCTGTCTTAACCTGGTCTTTCATGTCTTCCAATGGTGCATCCATTGCCACTATAACTCTGTCCATCCACCTTGCTGCTGGATGTCCTCTTCTTCTCTTTCCTTTCCCAGCATTAGAGCCTTCTCCATAGAATTTGATCATCGCATAATATGTCTGAAGTAGGATAATTTAAGGGCTTAGTATTGTATAGCATATTGCATATTAATAATTTGAATATTATGAAGATTTACTTTCCTTTTTACAAGACAACCTATGCTGCCAAGGAAGAATTTGGGAAGACTAATAATTGAAAATCACTTTATTAGAGATTGATAGTGGAGTTAAAGATAAGATATAAAAATTTCAGTAAGAAGAATCCCACAGTACTCTTTGCTCATTAATGATATAGAAATATAGATTAAGTATGATTTTGCATTCCCACTCATTTGATTCTGTTTTAATCATACTAGGAAAATAAGCATTGTTTCCCTCTAATTCCCCCTGTATTTTTACTTTGGCTCATGTTGCATAAATTAAGATTGTAGATTACTATTTGCATATTTACTTTTTTCTTTTAGTTATCCTTTATGTTTACCTTCATGTGTATCATTTTTGGAATGTTTATACCATTTAGATTTTTTTGCTTATTGCAGTCAAAGCACAACTTCACATTCTTTTCAAAATTAAAAAAATAATCGCACTAGGTATAATTCTTCAGAATCTAGCCAGATGACTGATTTACCAATTGTGGAAAGATTCTTCTATTTTATTTACTCTTTGAATAAGTCTTTCTTCATAAACTTTTCTTCCATTTTCCTCTCCCACCTTTTTTATTCACTTGTTAGCTAATTATACAGAAAAGATGCCATTCCAGAATTGATATACCCATTAAATAACTATAGTGTGCACACATCTCACAAAAGGGGAATTAACATAATGTTTAGGGATAATTTTATTTGCTGTTGCTTATTGTGTTCTTTTTCCCACAGTTTATTTTTCTGTTGAGAATAAAAATATTTTGAAGCAGAGCTTGTCCTACATTTATAGATTATTTGGCATTTTTGTGGAATTCTGTTCTGAAGTAAAGTCATACACTACTAGATAATTTATAGTAATGCTTTGAGTCCTGTGGAAAGCACTCAAGTAAAAACAAAAATAAAAATAGATATCAAATAACACCTCATTTAGAAAGAAAGTGTGAAATTGGCCTTATATTTGTGTGTCTAACTCCAAGACTATACACCAATCTTTTCTTTTAGATTATTGGTTATAGATATGAGCACATTTCATTAATTTATATTTTAAAAATTAATCTGAATGCTCTCCATTAAAGATCCACATCGCCTCCTAAACATTAGGATCTAAAGGATGTTGTACATAAGCTGTGATCTGCTTTTTCATCAATTATATTTCTTTATTGGTCCTTCCTCTATGGGTGGGGAGTAACAGCTGTTTTCATTGATGCCTAACACTCTGTTATTCAAATTACTACTCATAAGAACAGCTCTGCTGGAACTGACCAAGAACCATCTTAGTCCAGCATTTTCTTTCTGAGGTGTGTTCACAAGCAGGAGATGGAGATTAGTGTTCTCCTGAAAGTAGTATTTGGAGGCATATCATCCCTAACCAAGAGGTAACATTAAATCTTCAAGATGAATAGTCCTTAATGTCCTCTCTTTCCATGAATTTTTCCTCTTTTCTTATAAAGCTCTTTTCAGAGTCTGTCTGACTCTATAAATCCCTTCCCTATGCCCTCAAAACTGTCAGTACATATGAAAGTTGTCCAGGGTAGTTTAATTAGGTATTTAAATATCATTTTCTTTTAATTTGAAAATGTATGTACTTCTATAAGCTGTGCTGGCCACTGAATTTGTAGAAGGCAATACCATATTTTTTGTGTCCATGTTTCACTTCTGACCTAATAGGCTCTCAAACTGCTCATGTATAATCTTCAGGGACAAAGGGTACTGTTTCTTGCGAAGTGATTCATACGCCTGCAAATCTGTAGATAACTTTGCTTTCTAACTGTAAAGCTATATTACTGTTACAAAATTCCCTCCTTATTTAACTTCTCATTGGAGGGAAATGTAATCCTTAGTGATGAATGTAAAGCTTGAATAAAGTTGAAGACAGGACTGTGCTTTCCTTAGACTCTAGTTTATGAAAAACTATGCTGTAATATGTTAATATAAACATTACAGGACTTGTTAAACTTTTTTGCTGCAGGAAACTAACATAACTATCTTCTAGATCTACTACAAATAACTTGCTTAGATTGCTGGCATTTGCAAAGGGAAATAATAACAATTCTGTAAATATTCTTATGCATGTTAAACTTTCATTGACTTCTGCAAATTTAAACAGACTTAACTTAGAAAGACAATACAGCTAATGATGTATGGAACAATCTGTGTGCTTCTATTTAAATTTTATTCATAATGCTTAATAAATAAATAAAATGTTTCTAGGAGTCACTTGCTGAAGTTGAAGAGAAATACAAGAAGGCCATGGTTTCTAATGCTCAACTTGATAATGAGAAAAACAATTTAATTTATCAAGTGGACACGCTAAAGGATGTCATTGAGGAAAGAGAGGAGCAATTAGCAGAATACTATAGGGAAAATGAAGAAAAGACTAAGGTACTTGAATTTATAGTTTATTATATGCAGAATGTATATTTTAAATAGCAGAATATGAAAGCATCCATGTGTAAATACTTAGGCATATTGGTATTTGAAAACAACATTGCATATTTTTAATTAAAACAAAGACCTTACTAAGTTTTATGATCGCTCAAAAATGGGAAAATTAATTTGTTCTTCGAGTAGCTTCCCCTCCTCCTTCTCTTTCTTCTGATTCTAAGCTACTTTTCCCTAAAACGGATTTGAGAAATGCTAATGAAATCCTAGTGCTGAGACAATATTGGTCTAATGTCAAACATTGGAGTCAAGCAGGGAATTGGTTCAAAATCATGTCCTGATTGTTATATTTTTGGGGGGGAGGACTGCTACCCAGAAATTGTGAAAAGTGCTTAAGTTACATTTCATACTTGGCTTCTTTAACAGTTAGGAGTTAGTATACCTACCTACTTTGTAATTATTAGGAGTACTTACCAATAGCCTACAGAATCTTGAAATCAGCTTACTTTGTTGTAACAAGCTTCAAAATGTTACTGGAGGGTGGCCAAGCAACCGAAACAAATTTTAAAGTTATCTAATCTAATTTCCACCTTGCTGAATCAGAATAATGGTCTTATACTAATAGATTATAATTATATTAATATAATTACTAATATAGTTTATGCTTAAGGTAATGTTTTTCTTAAAGATAAACTTGAATTGCTTAATTATTGTTTGTCTAATACAGGAATTAGAAAGACAGAAACATATGTGCAGTGTTCTACAGCATAAAGTGAATGAACTCAAGGAAAGCCTTTGCCAAAGAGATGAACTAATAGAGGTACGTGTTCATACTGGTAAATAACTAATAATATGGTCAATAGTAGTCAAATGAAATTCTGTGATTTATTTCCTTGTGTCTTATTTTAATACATACCACACTGTTCGTGCCTACCCTCCAAGCTTATCTTTTGAGGAAATAATGAAAGTCTTTTTCTTGGTATGATGGGCTCCAGATAGCAAGAATTCTTGATATGAACTTTTAGTTAGACTGTCTCAACCTGTGTCCCAAGTGGAATCGTCCAGAAAGGATTGCAGTGCTTAGGTGTTCTGTTGGGATATCATTTATCTTGCTGCCCAGCACTTTCTTTCTTTCTGAGCTAACTGGATTGGTTTCAGGATTGGTTCTCAATTATCAGATGCCTTGTTTTGTGGATGCTGAAGCTGAAAACTCACAATTTCATGATCACTATTTACTTACTTATCTGAAATATTTATATGCCATTTACAATTTCAAAACAGTTTGTGTGTGTGTGTGTGTGTAAAATAAATTAAGTAAAATAGAAAAATAAGGTGGGATAAAAATCTAATAATAATCCATCCGAAATCATTTCTGACCATGGTGATTGAGAAAATGGTTTCTTTAGATGCATCTAGAAAATAAGGAACTTGTTTTTGGCTAAGGTTTTGGTCAGTGAATGCTTTGATTGGAATAGTGAGTTACCTGCTCTGGGAGGTGAATGGAAAAATGTTAGTTGTATTAATTTGCTGGCATCTTAGGAGATTTTGATATCCTTCTGGATCACCTTGCATACTTTGAGGATCATTCTGTTGGTCCTTTTCATGAACTTATATCCAGAAGATGATTCTGAAGACTACTGGTCAATACCAGAGCCTTTGATTTGTAGTGTCCTACAGAAGTCTCCCTATATTAAGAGATCCTTTCAAATGAGGTGTCATCAGTATTTGTGTGTGTGTGTGTTTATTTCTCTTTGTTTTCTATTATCAAGAAAGTTATCTATTTATCAGTTTGAAAATTTATTGAATGACTGAAAAAATAGAGACTATTCAGATAAGATAGAAGTGCTTTGATCAGTAAAACATCTAGCTTAGATACTCAAATTCAGACATTCCTGGACAGAGCTCCAAATGGTCAGTTTTGTAAATTGTGTATGCTCCTTGTTTCTTTGCTGTTCCTAGATTTGGAGCTGATTATTGGTAGCAAGGAATGAATGTGTAGAATTACTTTAGCATCCTGCATGTGACCTTACTTGGATTGGTTGAATTGGGTAGAAGCTATGTGTACTGTGGTAATATAAATTTGGGGATGTTGCTATGCAGTCTGTGTATTAAAAATAAATGGAAGGGCCATTTCGTATAAAATGTAGCAGCTAAACTGAACTGGTACATGGTGTAGAAGTGAAATTATAACAATATTTTAAAATGGGATAAGTTTCAAATATTATTACAGTAAAATGTTGATCAAATATATAAAGATAAATATAATATTTGTGGTTATAATGCAAAGTCAGTTGTAGCTCCTTTGAACATAAATCCTATCCTAAATCTGTTTGTAATTCCACCCTTCAAATCTTTGTTCATAAAACCTCTGTCTTTCATGTTTCTTTGGCTTATTTGTTCACTTCTTTCTATCCTTTTGTAATTTCCTTTACTTGTTTTTCCCCTCCTTTTATTCTTTTCCCTGTGTTTACTGCAGGAGAACCAGCGCATGCAGCAGAAAATAGAATCTATAACCAAAGAGGTGTTTGACCTCCAGGAGACAGTTAATTGGAAAGATAAAAAAATTGGGGTATGAGATTATGCTGAGGTGAAATGTGATTAGGAATAGACTGGCAAAAGTTGATGAGATTGTTAATGTTCATTATGCAGTGGGCTTGAATATAGTAATTACAGCTACAGCAATAAATTCGATTAAATAAATTAATCTAATGCTGGATACTAGACAATAAATAAATGCCATGCAAGAGCACACGCTGCATGCATGAACATATTTATAATAGAATTATTTCTCAGCATTTCCAGTGTTACAGTCAAAATTGGAATTTGGATGCTAGTTGTTTGTTGCCATGATTAAAAATGAAATATAACTTTGAGAGTGACAGACTTGAACCACCGCCTATACATTACCTGTACAGTATGCTGTAGGTGCAGTTTCCTCTCCACTCTGTAGTTCCTGGGAGTCTACTGATTGGTGGGCTGCTGGGGAAACTATTTAAAAGCTTACCAATCTGCTAATTGATTGGCTGCTGGGAAGGAGGTTATGGTTTCCTGTGAGAATCCAGCATCCAAAGCAGAGCCAGGCCCTGGAGAGAAATAGGAAGCTGTATGGTTTCCTCTTTCTTTTAATGTTCCTTGGGGAAAAATCTGACTGACAACGTTGTTTCATTTCCATTTAAATTAAAAACCATAGTACCATGTATATAGTTTTGTAGGCCTGCTATCATATCCAAATATTTATACATGAAAATCTCAGTGCATCCCAGAGGACTGTGCTTTCTTGCTCTGTATAGTGTTAGGCTTTGAATAAAAGTACACACATAAGGTTTGATCCAGATTTAATCACAAAGTAGACCCACTGAAATTAATGGGATTTAATTTAGTCCCATTGATTTTAGTAGGTTTGAACTACATAAGACTAGAATCAATTCAGCCATAATTTATCAATTTCATGTTGAATCCCAGCATGGGGATTTATTTGTGGGAATGGTAGGCTTATTCAGTGGAAGAAATACTATGCTAGAATTGTATTTAAAGTTAGAACCTACATTAATGTAATGAATGAGACTCAATAAATATTTGACAGATCCTTTATAGCTAAGGAATTCTTGTGCTAAGCATGAACTTTTGTGGCAAACACAGGATTGTGTAAAGCTTTATTTTCTTTCTTTTTGTTTAACTATTCTTCTTGTATTTACAAGAAATCTCTCTTACCTATCACACATTCTTTTTCTATACTATTTTCTTTGTGCTACCTGGCTGTAACCAGGCTCTAGAGAGACAAAAAGAGTACTTTGACTGCATTAGGATTGAGCGAGATGAGCTCAGAGATGAGCTGGCTGACCTGAAGGAAACAATGAAGACAGGAGAGGTATGTTAGCAGTAGTGCTGTTTACAAATGTAGATTGGGGAATAGGCCAAAGGTAGCATGGTGGAAAGTGCAGCATCCTTACCACATCATTTCCTCCTTCCTACTAACTCCTTTATGGGAGCAATGGTGTTGTGGCTTGTGATTGTATCAGCTAAGTAAAGAGTTTATCTGTAAAATAAAACTTTCTGATAAATGTTGTTAATGTTGCTTCTTTTTCCCCAGAAACATGGATTAGTAATAATCCCAGAAGTCACTCCAAATGGTGATGTTAACCATGAACCAGTAGTTGGTGCAATTACAGTTGTATCACAAGAAGCTGCTCAAGTTTTGGAGTCGGCAGGGGAAGGACCACTAGGTAAAATAAACATTTTGTAAAAGCTTAATGTTAAGTTAGGGTTTTAATGTATATATTGTAAATTCAAAAATTACACAGAAAGACCTGTAATTTTAGAGAGATCAGCGCTTGAATTCTATGTGATTAGTTCTAGCACTCCATAAATCTGTTCAGACTTACAAAATACCTATAAATATTCTGTAAGCTTTTAAAAAACATTTAAAGGTAAGCAGCTATGTATTAGAATACTTCCTATAGAAAGTATTTCAAAAACAAACTTTAAAATAGATGGACAATTTCAGAAATGTGTATTCAATTGGCGATTTAGTGAATGTAAAATTGTCTTTAAAAAAAGAACTTTGTACTACAGATAGTCCTCATTTAACCACCACAGTTGGGACCGGCAGTTCCATCACTAAGTGAAACGGTTGCTAAGTGGGAAATTACATGACTGTGACTGTGCTTTCCTTTTCCTCATTCCTCTGTTCTTTGGAATGCTCAGTCTGGCTATGCTGGAGGGGCTCAAAACTGTCAAGATTAATCAGTTTCACACCTTTGGCTTTTGTTCACCTCCTAACCACTTACATAATGATAGCCTTAATCCATTATTTTGTATACTAGTTTTTTATTGCTCAAAAAGGGCCCATCTGTCTCTTATTGTGAATTTTCAGATGAAATTCCAACCACATAAAAGTATTCTTCAAAAGCCTCCCAATATGTGAAATTAAATTTTCATTTGCTAATTGAACTATTTGTTTGTTTTAGATGTTAGGCTACGAAAGCTAGCAGGAGAAAAGGAAGAGTTACTGTCACAGGTAAGCCTCCTGCAGGTTTCTAGAGATAGTGAAGTAAACAACTTTCCATAATGAGGTTCTAATCAAATGACATAAAGTACAGTTGCTCTGAGACCTCCTGAGTTAGTTTTTGTACGTTTAAGCTATAACTTTATTGCTCCTGCAATAATCCAGCAGCCATAGGATTCATGGTTATTTCCCTACTCTCTTCTGCCTGTTTACTGGTGGGGGATGGTCCAGGAGGGGCTTTGAATATGCTGGATTCTAAGCTTATAATGGGAAACTTGCAGGAAAAAAATCAGGCTGGAGATGAAAAACTGTGTCTTACATGCGAGATCAAATTGCTGTACATCAAAATAACATAACATAACAAATGTACAACTTTTGTGAGCTGATTAGCCTTTGAGTGGCATGCTTAGTGCCACATTCCAAAAAATGGTGGCGTAGGCAGAACAAATATACATTTGATGTGATGTCATATACGGTTCAGTTTTATTTCAGTTTAAATATATTTAGCCTGTCTACTCCTTAGTCATG